ACATCCATGGCAGTGTGCTTAGTGACACAGAATAGTATTTCACAATCTCCCCCAACCCATTTTTGTGTGACACACGCTGAAGTCAATTTTCTGCACCTTTCATGCACGGAAGAAGAAAAAGAAAAAAACCCAAACATTTTGCTCCTCACTTTGGGCAAAGTTGATACCTTCAACGTTACGCTTTCAAAGTTGACAAGAAACCCTTGAGAAAGTAGGGGTTGGTAACTTTTTATCTCTTATCTTCTTCACTGTTGCGCTTGGCTGCAAGTCATCAATACATGGGTCAGGTGCAGCTCGTACTCTCACTCAGAAACCAAGAAACATGGATCCCTCCACAGAAATCTCCACGAAAAATATAAGTATAAGGTTGTGGCACCGTCCCACACTCAGAGAATTCAACAGAGAAAGCGTGGGAAAAGGGAGTGGGGGGGGATTGGTGTAGATATGATTAGAAAAGCACTGAAGGAGAGGAAAAGCACACAAGTGAATGAGAGACAAAGAGAAGCTGGATCTTTTTTTCTGAGAAAAAAATGTATTGGCTTTTGGTCTTCAGTAGTATCCAATTAGCATGCTTGTTACATAGGAACACCAAGAGTTAATTGGCCTAAGAGGAACAAGCAGCACGGCCATGAAGGGAGAGAGCAGAATTCATTTGAAGGCTCGTGACTCCAACAGCAGCACGGTGGGAGGCTATTTGGCAAAAAGTTGTAAACAACATTTTGCTTCTGCAATAGCAAATATTGTTTTTATACATTCTTTCAGTCTCTATTGCCAGATGGTGTTAAAAAAAAAAAACAACCTATAATGACTGCACTGAAGTTAATAGGCAATCATAGAAAAGCATTTGGTCATCATCAGCTTACCTGGTCCACACAAATAGTCATGATGTACCGTAAAAAGGGAAATGCTAATGAAATGTGCCTAAATAACAATTTGACCAAGGTCTGTGTGTAAATATCCTGACATCTGGAGATAAATCATTCAGTGACATGACCTAACCTGTCCACATTCAGCACCACAGGGTCGTGCATTGGAGAATATGCTGAAGGCAGCCACAGACACAACAGTACTAAGAGCTCGCCGAGGACAACAGGCTGAATCTCTGATTACATTTAGCGTTTAAACTGTAGCAGCAGGATGTGATGCACAGGACATCAAGCGCTCATTATGCTCTTTACATGTAATTAATCAAACAATGTAAACAAAGCTTGCTTCAGCCACAGCAGACAGAGTCGGATTCCCTGGTGGCAATTCAAATGCAGTAGACACAGGACAAGATTTAGTAAATAAACAAGTATGACTTATAGGAAATTGACAATTCTCCGCCAGTATTGAGACAATACAAGAGTCATAACCTCCTGCTGAGACCGTGCACATACACACATCTTGGCCTCCTCCCTGTTTCTGTAAGGCCAATAGTATCTTTCCTTTGTGTAGTATACACAGTATGTTCATATGAAAATATGTGCAGGAAATATGTTTTGAAACAATAAAAGTATTACATGAAGGACACACAAGTAGAAAAAGAGCACTCTATATGAAACCTTTGAGTGCCGGGACATGTACTTGTTCTTTCAACCATGCAGATCTGACCCCATTTCAGGAAAAGAAGACCTCTAACAGAACTTTTTCATTCTTAAAAAAAAAAGTAACTCTAAACCTTCCACAGCACTAAGTAATGCCAAAGTAAAAATGTTTTTTTTTGTCTGCTTTAATTAATACCTTGTACACATAACATGAGTTATTCATCCATCCAAATCAATTAATACATTGTGTTTGTACTGTTACAATATGCAGCAGCTAAGTTATGGTTATTTTTATATTGTTGGGCTGACTTTCTATAAGCAACCAACTCATTGCTATTTGGTTGTTAGATTACTGTTCGGGAACAAACCAAGCAAGGATACGACTAATCAACAGACTGAGTTTGAAGTCTCCCATGTGTGCTCTTGTTTATACAGTGTACAGTATGTAGCCAACACATGTGTTCCCTGCAGGGGTACTACTACTAGTACTAGTACTTTAACTTTGTCTGTATTTCTTGTTCTCTAAACAAACCGAGTTTCAGCTAATATAGCAGACAGACAACAAAAATAGGAACATGGGACAAGAAATGAGATCACTTCTGCTCTCTGCCCTGTAGAGGTTAGTTTCCTTTTGACAGATAACAGAAAGAGTATAAGGCAGGCCATGCTCACGGTGCTCTGGCTTTCTCTGTCGCAGTCCAAAACCAGTTGGTTACAAGGACAAATTGATTACATTGAATACAACAGTTTATTTAACAGGGACAATACACATTAATAAACATTCATGTAAATGCACCTGAATTAGCCAGAAGGCTGTTTTTTATCTGTAAGCCCTGGTTAATCAAACGCTCACATCTTTTTTCCTCATCATCCAAATTATGGGTCGGAATGTTTTCAAGTTCTTGTAACATTTGTAGGCTCTATATGAAGCAACATTAGCAAAAAGTTTGCCTGGAAAAACAAAAAAGAAAAAATGTGTTCGTTAAATAAGTGAAATCCATCGATCTCTGTGTTCTCTGTGAGTTTCATTGATGAAAAAAGGCTCTTAGGTCTTAGTGAGGATGCCATACCAGGACTTCATTAAGGTATAATTTTGCTTTCTCCAAATGTAAGCTCATCCACATATACAGTAGAGAATGGATAAACAAGATTAAGCTGATCACTGTCAGAGCTCTTTTAAAACTATCACATGCTCTAATTTGCATTTAACCTCAAATGACATGACTGTGCAGCTGCTATTGCAAATGCGATTTACCTGCAGAAAATTGACTTTTTAGTCAGTAGTAATATTTTGTTCACCCCACGTTTTATTTAAAGTTTGTTTCACGTTTCATCTTATGTGAAAAAAAGCTTTTTTTTAAATGCCAGATGTCTCGCTGGAACAAAATTTGCATTTAGGGTTGTCTGACTGTCACACAGCCACAACTGGACTACATAAGCATGTCTGCAACTTTGTGTGAAGAAGCCCCTGAAATGGTAGCATTATACCACTGAGCATCTCAAACCATTAGGCCATGACAGTGACAGTAAGGCTTGTCCCAGAGTGTCATCTCTCCTGGTCTTTTTCTGTGTCTGTCTTATCCATGCATCAACACACACACACACACACACACACATACACAAAAAGACAAAACATCTTTATTAGCTTTCTGTATGCAGGCTTTGCTCACAAGATTGCAGGACTGACTCCTTCCTCACTGTGAGCTGTACTGGGGAAATGTTTACCAAAACCCCACAGAACATGCCACTAACCTTTTTTCTAGATAGAAGACAAAAAAAGGATGCCCCTTTCTCAAGACAGTAAAGACAGGAACACCTATCTGGGACCATCATGACAATCATCTCATTATGAAGCTGCAGGAGACAACAAAACAGGGAGCCTGGTCTCCCAGGGACTGTTTCACCACAGTATACTGGTGTGCTTAGCATTCAGTGAAGAACCTATGATATACAGTGAAGCACAACCAACTGATTACCCCAATGGCGAGGAACAGCATAGATCCCCATCAGCCACCTCTGCCCTGAAAATTATTCCATAGTTTTTTCCTCTCCTACTTCCTGTTTCTTCCTTTCTATCTCGCTCTGTCTCTCTGTACCTCTCTCTCCCTGAAGATTCCGATGGATATCCTGGGGCTCTGATTAAAGCCCCAACCTGGGAAAGCATCTGGGTATAGCCAGTGTGGAGACAGGGCACTAGAGCAGCTTCTTCTTCTTAAAGACCCGCAGGCATAATTCAATCAAACCTCAATAATTCCCCCTGATGTGAGAGTTGAATCCGCCTCACACACATCAAGCACAGATAGACACCACAAGCTCATGCTCATCCCACACTGATGGTCTCCTCCTGGGTGGGCTTAAGAGCCCACTACTGGGTATATTTTACCTGTGCTGTTTGAAGAGGCCATTATTTTAATTGAAAAAGTTACCCGCCCGCCAAAGGCAAACAATAGAAGACAGGGTGGCGGGTGGGGGGGTTGGAGTGTTGAATAAAACAAAAACAGCAGATGGTGATATACATGGTAAAAATGATTGTTTATACTTACTGTTTGATTATATGTGATAATGAGAGTGGGATTCCTCAAGGCAATTAGTGTCTGTGGCAGCCGATTGTGAGAGGACAGGGGAAGGACAGCACAGGCTGTTATGAAGGAGCGCTTATCAAATATCTCCATCAGGGTGGTTATTGTAAGAAGATACTGCAAGGTGAGATAGGCCGCTCACACTCTTCGAGTATGTCAACGCAAGTGTGTTTAGGTGAGTGGGAGAGAAAATGTGAGCGTTACTTGATCAAGAGGTTCAGAGCCTAAGAAAGCATGAGTGACTCTATCAAAATGTGAGCGTTACTTGATCAAGAGGCTCAGAGCCTAAGAAAGTATGAGTGACTCTGTGCATCTGTTTCCATGTCGTTATGTGTGCATGAATGTGTGTCTTAATGTATACTGTGCCCCCATATCCCTCAGTGTGTGTGTGTGTAAGTGTCATAAAATTCCTATGTTAACATAGCTTCCCACTCCAGGTCGGCTGTCCCGGGGGTTTTAGCCTATGACAGCAGGCACATCGGGGGCACTTACCCCTGGCAGAGTCTTCTGTTCATGGAGGGCGCTCTGGGCCTTCAGTGCTGACTCTCTGGCACAGTATGTTAGAAAGGCACATCCTGCAGTATCATGGAAACAGGAGAGACATTTTGCTTATTCCTCCAGCCCATAACAGAGACACAGAGAAGTTATGGTCACATTTAAAACAACTGTACATTTAATGTATGTGTATAGGATACTTAACAGTCATAAGAGACCACAACACATAAATTCCAAAAGGTATAAAATCATGTTTATGTCAGTATGATCATTTCAGCATTCAACAAGGGATTTCAACATTCAGTACCCATCTAGCTCAATGACTACAATGTAAAACTTAGGCAACTGAAGAGAAGCGCTCTCGCATGCCACGTAGCTTTCATTGCCCAGGCACAGTTAGCACTCACACTAAGTGCACAATGCCCGAGTCCATCTGAACCATGTCTGGGACCACCTCTTCAATCAGGCCAGGGCACGGTATGCTTGGCTCGGAGCAATCATGCTACTCAAACACTTTGGACTTTGGGGTTCAAACATGGTCGGGCACAGTACAGATCGCCTAGTGCGGGTACACCCTAATAGATGTGGCCAAAGTTAATAGTGCTATACCCTCAGAGAAAATAATATGCTGGTTGGAAATGAAGATTAAAATTTTACACATTTCTTTCCAAAGTATGACAACCCCTTCAGATTGGATTTACTGAACTCATGCATATCTTCACTGTTAATCAAAATTAAATATTTGCTATATTTCTAAGCAATCACTTTCAAAGTTATTGAAGTAGACACAGGAGGAAAAGTTAAACAGTGTGCATGCTTTCCAGCTGCCGGGGAATTAAAAAAAAAACCTATGGTTTTGAGCTGAAACTCTACCTTCACATATTTCTGAAGATTGTTCTCAAAGTTGGAAAATTTAAGAAAACAAAATGAACATGCATCAATAAATAAGGCCCTAACAAACATGTGACCACTTTCATTAAAGGGCGAACAATTTGCTTTTACGTGCTTGGCAAAGCTGACAGTGGGTGACCCCGTTCAGAAGAGGTTTTGCACTGTGCAGCATAATTTCACATTACTACACACTTGCTGCCAAAGATTCCCATGGGTAAAGAGAGACGCACACACACTCAGACACCTACATACAGATGATACTCGGCATGCACTCATCACCTCTGAAACCCAGCAACACAGTCTGGCACCTGGCCAAGAGAGCTCCCTTTCATGACAACCTTCACCCACCTCTACAACTAGGCAGTTACTCAAGAGGAAAAATCACCTAAATGATGCTGATGAAACGGCAAGCCACAGAGCAAAGAAGGAAAGTTTGGGAGCCCTGGGGAAACACTCTTCATCCTCTGTGACATTACAAAACTGTGGGACATGGATGCTTCCCCAGGGACATGTCCCTGCAAAGCCTTGTGGGAATCGTAGGCTGTTGCTGACACTCTTCTGCTGCTCCAGTTATTTATTTATTTAGTTTACCTTGCTGCATTACATATGTTTAATATACATCTTGACAAAATTTCATCCCATGATTTGTTGCAGTATGAATTAAAAAAAAAAACGACCCTACCAAAACCAGGAGAGCTTTGATGCAACAGTAACAGCTGTGTTTTTCTAGACAAAGTTTAACGGTAAGGTTTAATTGAATCATTGTCTTTTGAGGAAAGCTGCTCTGGACTGTCCCTGAAAGTCCCCACCTCAATATGGCACAGATTTTTTTTTTTTATGCTTAAATAATTTTAGAATTTCAGAAAACATTTCTCCTTACTTCAAAATGTGTTTAAGCGATAAAATGTAACTAAGTCCTTTTTGTTAAGCACTATACACTATGTACTTAAGCACAGTTTTGTGGAACAATTCTTTACTTGAGTTTTTTTGGGCTACTTTATACTTTTTAGTTTACAACAGTAGTTGCTTGGTGCTTTTCAGGTTTTTTAACATACAAAATATAATCAGTTCATAACATTTAAACAACACATTCAGTGTGTTAATCTTATAAAAATATTGCCATATATATAACCTTAACTGTGCTTTACAGTAAAATGAGTTTATATTTAATGCTTTTGATGTCATTTTATTGCTTTTGTTTAATACCTTACTTAAGTGCTTTTAAATGCCATATTGTTACTTATAGTGGAGTACTTCATAGTATAGTGACATTACTACTTTTTCTTGATCTGAATACTTCCTCCACCACTCTTCAGTTTTTGCTTAAGCAGGTGTAACTGCCTGTGAAACAAGTGAATCAATCTCAGCCCATCGCATATTTGTCCAGCTGCTTCAAGAAAAGTAGCATTTGATATTATCAGTTCAAATGACCTGTTTAACTGGAGCTTTGTACAGTGTATCCTCTAGTATTTAGGCCAGCTGCATGGCTGCCTGGGTTTCCTCACAGGATTGGGAAAGCAGGATTAGGAAAGCTTCCTAATCAAGGGACATGTGAGGCCCAGAGGAATCACTGATTGAGAAAGCCAGTTGTGGAAGAAACAAGCATGGAAAACATAAGGAGAGGCACAATCACACTGTTTGGGGAGAGGTAACAGGGATGTATAGCAGCTTGTAGCAGGTTAAGACTTTCATCTTAAAATTTTACTTGCAGGTTTTCCCACACTGTTGTCACCTTTATATGCAGTCATGCAAACAGGTCTTTAAAAAGCATGCCACCTGTTTGGTTTAGAAAATGCGTACTGAATCCCGAAAATTCACTGCATGTTTGCACAACAAAATATAAAGTTGACAACAAATGCAAGCATGATGCTTACTGTAATGTATTAGATGACCTCAGGGAACTGAAGGAAGGTTAAATTTGAATCAAAGCCTAAATGAACCAAATATTCCAAAGACTGAAGGAAATAAATTAGATGTATTAAATGGGAAGAATAGAAGGAGGAGCACATGGTCATGGGTTCTGTAATTAAACGTAAGCTCTGGTAGTGGTTCAACAGGTGGTTTCCCATGATGTGCTGGTTAAGTGGGGTGAAAAATAATACTTTGATAATCAAAGACAACTTACTACACTATAGTGAGGGATGAAAGTTCAACAAATTATATTTAAGGCAAAAGAAACAGTAAGCCAGACCAGCTTAAAGAGCAAGCAGGAAATATGAAATATGTTGTTGAGTTTGCCAGACACGTTTGGGGTAATTATCTAAGAAACTTTTCCCCCTGTAACTCTTCTTCTAACAATTTATTTTAAAATGGAAATTAGTGTGTGCTCACAATTGCATGCATCCAGGCATTAAGAGTAAATTGTGCTTTTCTAAGGGATCAGGCACCTGTAATTGAAATAACTCCAGAACAAATTTGTATAAAATTTCAATTCATTAGCAGTGAATTCATGAATCATGAGGAATTTACTCTCCTGAGGTCTCCTCACACGTCTGAACCAAGAATGTTCATTAAACTGGGAAAAGAATGCAAATTAATTTCCAAAAAAGATTTAGGGGCTAAGAAATTATGTAAAATAACCGGATGCTGCTGAATGTGACGGTCTGACCCTCTCATGGGTACTGAGACAAGTACAATGTTGAGGATTCATGCACCGCTTCATGTTTCTGTGTTAATCACACTATTACTGCAGAGCATCTTTCCAGCTTTCAGTCATTCTATCCATCCTCATCCAGAGTGGGCTGTTTAGAGCAGTTAACTGTCTAGTTCGCACACAGCCCACCTTCTAATGATCACAGAGGTCATCTGTAGACTTAAGCTGCACCTGTCACATAGCTCACGCAGACTGTCAGTCACTGTCCAACACGTCCTCTACAACACTCATACTGTAGATAAAAACAAATACATACATGGATCTGCAATTCACTGGCTGTAAGTAAAAGTTAGCAGAATTGAATTTCACGGAAAAAACACCGAACTGTCAAGGAATTGTAAAGACACTTTCAAGGATTTGTTGTTGTATTCTATGACTCATTTGCAATTAGATATTAGTGCCCTACTGTGGTTTACTTTTGACATTTCAATGCCTAAGAGGGTTTTTTATGTCAATTTGGCAAGCTATTTATAGCCAATTACACTGCATGGACCTACCGAGGAGAGCAGAATGGATGAGGATATTTAACAACTCTTTGTATCTCTTCCTCCTGGCTGTGTGGTGCAGCTCAGAGTCCCTCCTCGCAGCAGCAGAGACGGATTGATAGATAACGCTACTCAAGCAAAAGATTTGCCCCCCACCAACATTCAGCATGTCTGAACAATGCATGCATTCTGGCACTGACACTAAGTATTATGATAATGTAGTGCTCAGCGAAATGATGGATGTTAAACAGCATGACCTGGCTGCACCACACACTGATGAGCACCATGCCCGCCAATAGTGTCAAGTCATCCCACACACTGTATAAGGCTCCCTGACGACACACAAACTATCAAACCGACATTAAAGACAACAGTGTCAAACAACAACGAGGCAGGATATGATCATCGGTAAAAAGAAACAAATGAAAACACATCCTCTGAATAGACATCAACATAGAGCGAAATGCACAGGAAAATATAGCATGTAATGTTTCCTATGCAGATTTTTAGACCTGAATAATTCCCTTGAAATATCCTAAATGCCTAAGGTAAGAATTCACAAAACATCTGAAACAGCACCGATGCATTACAATCCACATGAATTAGTCATGAGAAAAAGTGACATATTTTGATCTGCCCTTAAATCCATAATTACGGTGCAATTCACTGGATACAGACTGTGAAAAGAGGTGGTCCCTCAAATCATTCATTAATGATGGTTTACTCACTCATACCAACAGCCATACACATGATCTATGCAAAATCAAATTCTTCTCAACCACAAACTAAGCTCAAAGAGGGATTTCAGAGTAGTAGCCAAGCTAAATTTATGGCAGTGCACTACATTTTTATTAACTATATGCTTGTAAGGATTGTGGAGCCAAGCTGATTACTCCTCCCCTACTCTTCTGTTATTCTGCTGTGAAAAATATTTGCATTATTGTTTGTTGATAAAAAATGTAGACTGAATTTGTGATAACATTTGGGGCCTTTGACTTAACAGCTAACCACTATCAACAGCATACCATCTATTTCAGTGAACCAAACAAAACACAAGTAACTTTTTAATCCACTATGCAATGAATATACTGTTGACAAAATGACATCACAAAACCTTCTATTCTATAAAGGCGGAGGAAATGACTCAAGCGCTATACTACCACAGTGATGATTAACACTTGCCTGAGCAGACTAATACAATCCATCCCGGCGGTACAATAGCAGACATAAGTAAAACTATACACTGGACAGTAGTTGTAAAGATGAAGATGTATCAACACCCATTTAAGGGACTACGGCCAGGTGGCAGTGATTCTGAGATTGTCATGCCACCCTATCCCAGAGAGGCTGATGATATGAGAGCAGTGAGATTGAAGCAAAACAGTAATCCTGTGGGCCAGAAAACCAAAACAATGAGCCAAAAGATGCTAAAAGGCTCTGTAGAGCTGAGGGGAAGGGAACTGCAGAGTTGAGTGATAATTCTCTGTGGTTTTATGAGAATCACTGTCATCATAAAAATGATTATAGTCGCTATTTAATAGACATCCCAGAATGCTGAAGCAGTTAGGTGCATTTGATTACTGAGATACCTACATGCTGAATATTATCAGTAGGGCCCAGGGGAACCTGATAATATGGGGTGATAAGCCATAATCCAAATATCTATGGTATTTATTAATATTTTATTTTTATCTATCTATCTATCTGTTTATTTATTTATTTATTCCAATACAGAGCGCATACATACTGAGTGAATAAAGAAACTAATATTAACTTCACTGCTGAGTTTTTATCAAAATTTACTTTGACAAGTAAAAGAGGAATGAAATATTTACCAGTGCAACAAAACCCTAGGTAACTGCTGATTTATAAAACTTGTATTTTGTTATAATTGTTACAGTTATAATACAGTAATTATAATATTTTTATTTTGTTTTTGAAAGTTATCTTATGTATAACTTGGTACAAAAAAAATCAAATCACCCTTTAGTTTAAAAGTCAGATTATATGAATGACTGTTGTTCAGACCTTAAGACAAAGGATGCAACACCATTCAGTCTAAAGTAATGTGAAGCATTTCAAAAACAGTTACTGTAAGTAAGTGATTCGTTTTACTTTCAGTTCTCCCACAAAAGCTTTTCTTTGTTTCAGAATGGCCATTCAGTCAGTGTTTTAAACTGGTGTCCCTGAGTAACACTGCTCATAAAATACTACACCTATTTCTGTAACACACTATTTCCATATTTTTACTCGTTACTTTCTTGCTTCAGTCTACACATATCACACATTGACACAGCGTGAGGCATGAGCATAGTTTAGATGAGTGGCCAATGAGAAAAACTCATCCATATAATGCGCTGGTGAAATCTTATTAAAAGTGCACGCCTGTGTTCTCAAAGTGACTTTGAATGTCATGTGGGATGAAGTGGGCATAATGCATACATCAGGGTAGCCTTGGTGGGGGATGATTTAAACTCGCATACAGTCTAGCTTTGGAACAGGATTATCCTTCTCAAGGCAACCTTCCTCCGGAGTGTTGACATTCAGGGATGGTGGAGGACAGGCGTAAACAACGCGGATATCAGAAAAATTGTTTTAATTGATCACCAGGCTCTGGAACAATAGAAGAGGAACAATAGAAGAGTAGGAGGTTGACCCCAGCGGCTGATGGCTGGAGGAACAGGTGGTGCATGGAGACCTTCGGGGATGCACACACAAGGCAGCACTGCTGAGTCCACACTCATTTCTCCCACAACAGCACTTGACTTGATCAATAAAACCATGAACTGTAGCCACTGACATACATATCATACATAAGCTGCCGCCATGTGAATAGATTATTTTTTTTTACTGAGCGTGAACTGATTGTTAATTATGCTTGTGTGTGAGGTATTGTGTTTGTGTGAATGTTTTTAAATAATATTTAAGATTACAATAAAATAAACAGCATAACAAACTATCTACAAAATAGCATTGATCTCTATCAGAAATAGCAGTGTTATTATTAGTTATTTATTTTAATACAGCAGGGTCATTTAGCTGATAATGCAGTAATAAAGTGCAGGCTCTACAGTATATACTCTGCTTATGATGACATGGATAAAGCTTGACCTTATTTTAGATTTCCATTCTGATAAAATTCCTGTGCAAATAACAAGATAATAATAACAACAATAATAATAATAGTTTACAGTTGATGCAGTGTAGTGATTATTAAACTCAGCCACAATAGATTTATATAAAACCCCAAGAGTAGTGCAATTCAACGCTTGTAATAATGATATATAAGCATCTAAATTCAAATAGGAACAAAACCATTTCTTTTCTAAATTTGGTTAAATTTGTTTATAAGAGTTCCTGTAGTAAACGTAAAATATAAAGTTATGAAGCAGTTAGGCAATGTATATGTGTAGCTAAAATACCTTCCCACCCTAGCTGCACTCTGGCATTCATTATTATAACTATCATTACCACTGATCGATCCCTGATTTCCCGTGGCCTGTCTGACTAATTACTAAGTGAATTGATCCCGGCCGTTTGAGAGAACAAAACAACCGAGAAGACCATGCATCCTGGCTCTCAGCCTTTACTATTATCCTGCTTTGTACTTCCTGACTGCAACCCGCCCACGGAGCAGCGTTACAGTGTAGCTGTCATGTAAATGGTATTTTTAATTTAATATATATATATATATATATATTACAGCTTATGAAAAAATAGGTTGCATATTTGCCTGCTGGAAGGTCAAAGCAACATGCCAGCATCACGTTTAATCACGCAGCGATGATGATTGCCTGACAAGGGCTGGCGTTTTCACTCCTCCTGAAAGCATTTCTCTCCGACAATTTCCTGCAAATGGACTAGATATCGTACAAAATGGCTTTTTTTCTGTAGTTGTGAAGAAAATTGTGCAGCTACAGAAATACCACATCATCCCGGCGCGCTCGCCAGTCCCGCCCCCTTAAACTGGAATGCTCAGCACATGATAGTCAATGTAAACACACAAAGGCGTTTTCAGCCGTAGTATTCACGTGGATTGGCTGGACGCGGTAACAATTAACCCTGCGCTCGCTAGCCGTTCACTTCCACGTGTTCTCCCTCTCACGCTTACATTGTATTTGTGTGGGTGTGTGTTCGTGTGTGTATGTTCTACGGGGATCCCACTCTGTCCCAAACATCTGCAAATTAACACACTTTTCCTGCTTTCTGCCCCAGAGCTGAATCGGGACGTTCTTTGATTTCGTTCTCTCTATTTTCTTAAGGAACACAAAAGTAGAGATACCAAAATAACCAACCTTTATGCATTCCCGTAAACCTGTCTTTCAGTACAGTGAGTTCGTATATCTTTCCGAATTCCTCAAACAGGGGTTTCAGGTCTTTTTCCTCCAAGTTTCTGGGAATCTGCCCGATGAAAAGCTTGATGGCGTCGTGGTCCTTCATTGGAATGGTGTTCTGGCCGATGGTAAGCCCGTTCATCCTGCCGGCGCTGTTCGTGGTGCTGAATCCATTCTCTTGCTGCACTCCGTTTGCAGTGACTGTAGCCATCTTTCCTCAATGGGCCGGCGGGCTGCTCTCTCTCTCTCTCCCGCTCTCTCTTTCACACTCACTCGCTCTCCTTCTCCCTAGTGCACAGTGTCCCCCCCCCCCCGCCCCCCGCCGTTATCGTCCTCTCACCGCACTCCTCCGGTTTTCCCTCCTCAGTGGCTCCTCTCTCTTTTTCCTTTACAGCCTAACTCCTCTCGTTTGGAATCAGCTTGATTATTATTTTTTTCTCATGCTTTATGTGTTTTCATATTTTAAGTCCCCACCCCCTCCCCCGTCAGCCCCCACTCTGCTTCTGACGTCAACTCGTACTCGTACACGTACACGCTCACACCACGCCCACCACCCAATTTGCATAATGAGCGCGGCCAATGGGAGAGCAGGATGGCTGAGAGCCCTACAGGGCAGAGTAAGAATGCAAACATTTGTGTAAAGCATGGGAGATTTAAACGTTGCAAAGACAGCCTCTGTCTGGTCACTTTGTTTGGTTTTAGCAACAAGACAAAATCAGGTGTGGCTGGGGTGGGGAAAGGGCAATCATCGCTTTGTAATATATTTGTAATATTGTAATATACTGTGCAATGAAGGATTTACATTATGTAGAGCACTTTGTGTGAATATGTGAATGTTTGGGTGTGTGAATGGGATAACGGGCAAATAGTGTGACACCACTTTGAGTATGCTGCAATGCATAGAATAGTGCTACACAAGTATAAGTGCATTTACCATTTACCATGCTACTAAGGAGCCCTGTTCTCATTACTCCTCTGCTCTGTTGATTCCAGGTGTGTCCATGTTTTCCCCCCTTAAGTAATTCATTAATTAATTTTTCCTCTGAGTTGAATAATTACATTCTTCTGGCATGTTGAGCATAAAAAAGTCCTTGTCAGTTGTTAAAATAGAAAACCAGCAGGGCTGTAAATCCTGAGGACCAGCCATGAAAGACACTGCTGTGAAGCCTTGTAGAAGTGTTTTCTGCAGCAGTCGTTCTCAGTCCTGGTCCTCGGGAGCCAGGGCCCTGCTGACTTTCATTCTAACCATCTAACAGGGACTACTTTCAACTTTGGATGCCAGGCAAATGCTATAAACTACTTGGGAGCAAAAAAGCAAAAAAAAGACTGGACTGGGAGTCACTGCTGTGTTGCTGTGTGGAGCTGTGTTCAAATGGTCTGATATTCTTAATAGTTTAAGAACCCTTCAAAAGTGTAACATACCACAAACTTTTAAAGAAAAATTATGCTTTTATAAATACTGTAGACTTCATGTTAGACAATATTGTGATAAAGAGCTATATAGTCACATAAGGAGACACCCACAGACCATAAAAAAACTTTTAAGTAAACTAATAATAGAACTTATCATAGAGTGGGCCTATGTTAAAATAAAAAGCCCAAATGTCATAAAACAAATAGACCCCTTTGCCTCTCCCCACAGGGAGATTTGTAAATGTCAGAGCGCAAGGTCAGCTAATGGTCAGTGGCCTTGGACGGTTCCACATTTTGTCCATTTAGTGTATTGCTCAAGGACACTTCATCAGCAGAAACATGGGTTTGAGCAAAAATCCTTTTGTTAAGTGATGAAGTTACACTGATAAGAATTGCTAACTCTACAGCTCTAACTCGATAGGATAAATATTTATCTCACTAAACTACTAAGGATTTACTGCAGACAATTCAAAGTGCTACCATCCTGTCATCATCTGTTACCATCCTTTTACCATATGCACCATGTCATGTTTATGTTTCTCTGGAACATAGCAGTAGGAATTTTGTAGGCTCACTGGTATTTTTCTGATATCAGGGTTTTTTTTTATTTTAAAAAAGACAGTTTAGAAAGAAAATGTGAGCTTGGTCAGGTGCTTGAATCAAAGAGAAATTTGGATGACTAGTTAAAAAAAATAAAAACAATCACAGCATGCTGGAATACAATACACCTTATCCCTGGAGTATAGTGCTATGTAAAGACAAATGTGCTTCTATTTCTCCAGAACATAAAGACCATGCGAACAGATAAAGAGAAAAAGAAGGTGAGCATAAAACACTGCAGTTTGAAATGTCAGCTCAAATCTCCGGATTCAGAGCTGCCTTGTGTCACTGTCCATGGTGCTGAATCAACATTGTCATTCAGAGACCGTGAAATAGATTGTTGGAGCTACAGTTTTAGCAGTACATGTTTGCACTACAAATTCTCCACACCCTCTATCTGTCTGCTGTGCACAGTTTCCAAACCACTCTGTTCTTTATTTGACACAGGGGATGTTACATTCAACACCACTCTCTTCAGAACACTGTAGTTATGCATGCAAGTGAGCATGTGCGCTGCAAGCGTTGTATTACTGACAAAGTTTATTTTGTACACAGAAAGGTCTAATTAGTGCAGGTGGGAATATAACATTGATACAAGGGCAGTCCAGTTCATACTGATATGAGTAATTATGCTTGATATGTCAGCATTTGTGTGAATCATACCATGTATCAATAATCAATTCTATGTGTAAGTTTACTTTGGAAATGGTTAAGAGCTGCATCCTGCGATATACTGTAGAGTAAAAAGATCTGCACTGTTTAACTATTCTTGCGCAAGGCACAGAGTGTCTGACACCTCCAGAGGTGTTGTTCTGTAGCTGAGCCTGACCTTTTGATCTCTGTGTGGAATTGGGCAAATGGTGAGAAAACATGTCTTCTGGGATCAGTAGAGCATGAAAAAAAAGAGTCATGTCTACTGCAGAAATGCATTCAACAGACCTCTGTTGGGTTGGAATGAAGTGGCTAGTAAAAAGATGTAATTAAATAGTAGTGATTAGTTTGTTCTGTTGCATTTGCTAATTAGTAGAATAATACTGTTTTGCAATGATAAGCTATCTATCTATCTATCTATCTATCTATCTATCTGTCTGTCTGTCTGTCTGTCTGTCTGTCTGTCTGTCTGTCTGTCTGTCTGTCTGTCTGTCTGTCTGTCTGTCTATATATCTGTCTATCTATCTATCTATTCACACTTATTAAAACAAAGTTGTCATGAAAAATCAAATAAAAACATCATCTCCTGTGTGTCAGTAACTGAGCTGACCAATTTATTTCCTTTGTTGTACCAGTGCAAATATGACATTTGATTGCCTTGTCAGTGAGTTATCAGAGGAACAGTTTTATCTGTTGTAAATGGACAACAGGTTGAGCACCTATTTCAAAAATATCTAGCAGACTGATAAGCACATACATTTGTTTGGATTCACCCCGGTGGGAAGTGTCACAATGTACAGCACCCAGTAATTTTTTTGGGTCACTAGGAAGTAGAGAAGACAGCTTTGATGGATTATGTACAGGCCTCTCTCTCTCTCTCTCTCTCTGTGTGTGTGTGTGTGTGTGTGTGTGTGTGTGTGTGTGTTCACCCCTATCAGAGTAAACAGTCTTTGGGGACATTGGTACTCTGAGAGCAACTAACAGTAACATCTGGCACTGCATTGACTTTGGTACGCTTATTTATTTTCTATTTAATCTTGTCTTTGTAGATCATCTTGCTCTGAATGGGGATCAAAAACACAACGGGCCTGCCTAGTCAGTACCATGAGGGCCATTCTTTCCCACAAAGATACAGCTAATTTAGCTTCAGTGCTGCTTATTCGCTTTGCGATTTTTGTTTCCTTGTTTTTGTCATTTCTCTGCAGGATAGTTTGCCTGCACAGCTGTGAAGACTTGGAAACTACCTTCCAGGAAGAAATGCAAGTACTGCATGATCGCTTCAGTTATGCCAGTGTGTAAGCATCCTCTTTGTTCGTACACAGGCAAGTGTATCAGAAAGGTTGACAGGGTTTTTCTTCATGTCTGTGCCAAGCTCAGCACCTGGGTGGTTGCACAGTGCACCTCTGCCTATTACTCTCCTCTCCAACAAAAGAGCAGTGAGAATAGTTCCAACTGTGTTTGTGAAGTAGGTATGAGCTTGATGAAGAACACAGAAGAAAAGAAGTCCCTCAAGGATCTTGCACACCTAGAGACACATTTCACTCAGTTTATTTCTTTGTTATTTCTGGGTGGAAACTGGAATTCAGACATGGTAAGTGTGTAAGCAAAATCAACTCCACACGTATGCAGAAATATTTACCCTGAATATTTCGTACAGTACAACTGCTGCTTTCCAGTGCTGAGTGAGTGTCATTTCTGGTCTTATTGCCAAAATTATCGACACCATTGTCAAGGTGACTTCTTAGAATGTCACAGGCACACCACTTGAAAGAGATACAAAATACAGTCCCTTGAAGGAGCAAAATCAGTCGTATAAGTCATGTATTGTGCATAACAGTTTGGTGTCATGCATGATTCCTTCATACTGTGTGTTCATTGTCGCACTGAACTGGATATATGGAGTGGGCCAGGTGGAACATAGTCATGCATGAACATTTTTCACTGTCTGTTTTGTAGAGTGAGTCCAAAAGGAGAGCAGCCATTGATATTCATGGCACAGCCAGTATGAGGTGTGACAGTATTTTTGTGACTCTATGAGTGTATATGGTAATACCAGAACAGCCTCAAACCTCAAATGCAGTCTCTGCCTGAGGAAGGGGTGCACGGTTCCACCCACACAGGCATTGCAAGATAAAGAACCACACAGCCAGGAGCCATAATTTTGTCTTAAAACACAATTTCTTGCCAGTTCATTTATTTTTTTAAACACTATTTCTTGCCAGTTCATTTGCTTCTGGGCGGTAGGGAAAATGCAGGAGTGATTGTTGGTCTAGCCTGAACAATGTTTTTTTTTTTAATAAATTAAGTTTGCTCATTTTTATTTTGAAAAGGTGGATTGCATCTTTATTTTCCCTTTATGGGTGATGTTTTATTTGTGCTGCTGTTGATGTACTGTTGAATGATAAGCAGGCATCTTGCTGCATGTTTAAGTTCACTGGTGAAGCAAGGTAGGGAATAAATGAGAGAAAAACAAATAAGAGGTCAGGCAGACACAGTGAGTCATTCGCATTCTGGCAGATAATGAATCCCAGAATACTCAGTGCGGGCATTCCCTGAATGCAGTCACATAGGTTTTACTTCCACTGCTATTGCATGTAAATGTAGCATTTTGCTTTTTGTT